CAATATCTCTTAATTATGACTAAAACTCATAGTATAGGCTCTAACAAATGTGTCAAACACGGCACTTATTACGTTGAAGTGAACAGACCTAAGTCAATAATTATCATTGTCTTGTTGAATATATGAGATACCCACTCACAAAATAGCTGGAACGAATATCAATATCTCTTAATTACAACTAAAACTCATAGTATAGGTTCTAACAAATGTGTCAAACACGTCACTTATTACGTTGAAGTGAACAATTCAACAAGCACACAATTATGATAACTATTCCAAATTTGCAATAAGATCGTTTATGTTGAGAGGTATCAATTGGACAATACTAGACTAATACATCCCCAAACTTACAAAACATTGACCCATGATAGCCAAGCCTTTATAGTGAAGATCAACATGACAATACTGGTTAGGTCACACGTGACCCAAATTTATAAAATATAGGCCCATGAGGTCCGAGCCTCTACAGCCGAGTTCAACGTGACAAGACTGAAAATGTGGGTTAGGTCTAGAGCACATTCATGAACTAGTCGTAGCTACATCGTAACATCACAACTTAGGCGATATTACAAATTTGATTCCTACAATTAAATTAAAATGATTCAGTGTTCGTACGACATGATTTTTGAGAAGTAAAAATGAGATTTTGAGATTCAAAATCTACTTTTGGACTCGATTGATTAATTTTACGAAAGTGCTTATTTTGGTTAAAAGTGCTTACACAGAAAATTAGTCTAATATGATTTTCTCTAATAGCACTTTCAAAATAGGAAACTTCCAGAAATTAATTTTCAAACAAAAATTGAAGATAGCTTATAGCCTTTTTCAGGAAACTCTAATATAAGCAAAAAAAAAAAATTAAAATTTTTTTTTTAAAATAAAAAAATAATGAGGAATGTCATGTGAAATGGTCATTAATTAAATTGACAAATTTGAACAAGATAGTGGGACTGGGGGGAGACTTAAAACTACTTAAAAAGAACCGTCTGACGAATCATTTTCTTTTATTTTGTTTGTTTGTAATGATATTGCTTCAATAGTTATGAAATGGACGGTCAATTATTGAACTTATTGGACGGCTGATCAGTCGTTGGAGGCCGCCGACGGGTCCAATAAAAGTTCAGCTTTGATTTCTCATCCCCATTTTTTGGCAAAAGATATTCTTATGTAAGCATAATAGTGTCGTTAAACGTAGTCGAGTATAACCTGTTTGGTTCGACCTATAAATTCACTGCATGCTGATGAATCTTTTATAAAGTGTCGGTTAAGCAAGGTGCTCGTTTGCTTGCGAGTCAATAAGGCTCGACCCACCAAGAATTGAGTCGAACTCACATTTGATGAACCGAGCCAACTTGTGCCCCAATGAGATGAGCAGGCCCACATTTGGTGAAGCAAGCCAGCTCGGGTAGGACGAGGTAGTCCACATTTGATGAGCAAGCCGCTCGGGCTCGAGCGGATCGATGTAGACCCACATTTGGTGAAGTGAACAGCTCTTGCTCGACCAAGCCCAGACGCGGAGATGCCAGCACGAGTCGATTGGTTTGATTCAATCCATTTCACCCCTAAATTAAACCTTCAAAAATAAGTTCATGTATACTAAAATTGACATCCATGACTTACATATGTAATATGCTAAAACTTTATATATATTCAACGTACTATTTTTTATTTTTTCAACGGGCGTGCAGTGAAATCGACAAGCACTAGTTTTGCGAATTAACATGATGGCGAATATTTGTCTGTGAGCTTTCTTGTCCATAGGCATGGGTCCTTTGCATGCATGTCAATAGTGAATTATAATTAGTAACACTATTAGCAAACAAAGAACAGTTGCTTTTCAACACGACCAATTAGAGATTAAATCTGTGCTAATTAACTTAAAAAATAATCCAGTAATCAAGCTGTCATTTCCCACTAATTTTCCTTTTGTACTTCAATCGTTTTCAATAATAATGTGACATGACGCTAGCGATAAGCTAATTATTTCATTCCCTATAAGAAAAAGTAAATTATTATTTTCGCTCCAATTTTCATAACAATCAAGAGAATTTATTATTGTTTAAAACATATTAAATTTCATATTTGAACTTGAGTCTTTTTTCGAATACTAGTTTAGGCACGTCCATCTGTATTTTAATTGGGTATTTAATAGTGATTAGTAATTCGAAGGTTTTTTTTTTTTGAAAGGTATTGTTTGTATAATTGTATGAAGTGATATAATTGTGAGATTTTGTAGCAAAGCATATTCATTTTTTCTTCTCTTTTCTTTTTCACATTTCTTTTATTTTTCCTTTAGTTTATTTTGTATATATACACACATATACATGGGGATCAAATATAGTAGAATGGTTATTATTTGATTATTGCTAGTGTAACCAGATGGAATATGTAAGAGAAGGAACTGGTAAAAAAACAAAGGCAAAAAGTAAAGGGATTAAATAAAGATGGATTAAAACCAACATACATGTTATGTAGTGACTAATTCACATAGCTTGGGAGCTTTTGTAGCAAAGCATCAAGATTTCTTCCTTCAAGACCTTTAGGGGCTGTTTTCTTTGTGTTTGAGTTTTGTGTTTTGAATTCATTTTGAATTTTGTGTTTTGAGTGTCAACTTTGAGATTGTTGAAAATGTGTTCTTTTTGGTATTTTTAAAAATTGTTTTGAAAACACCCAAAATGTGTTTTGAAAATTTTGACTTGATTATAATTGAANCTTTCTTTTTCTCCTCTTCCTCCTCCTCTCCCTCGCCCTCTTCTTCTCCTTCCCCTCCTTCTTCACTGATGGTTGTTGGTTTGGGTGTTATGGTTGGATGCGGTGGTTGGGTTGTGACGCTACGGTTGTGGTAGTTGGGTCGCAACTTTTGGCTGGGGCGGTGGGGGTAATGGCAAATCGATTTTGGCCATGGTTGGGTCGCGATTCTGGTGGGGATTTTTTCAGTGGTTGGGTCGCCATTTTTGCTGGGTAGGTAGGGGTAATGGCAAATCAATTTTGGCCATGGTTGGATCGCGATTCTGGTGGCGATTTTACGATGGTTGGGTCGCCATTTTTGCTGGGTAGTGGTGGTCTTTCTGGTCGCGAATTTGGCAATGGTTGGGTTGCGATTCTGGTGGTAATTTTGCTGTGGTTGGGTTGCCATTTTGGTTGGGCGGTGGTGGTCTTTCTAGTCGCAAATCTGGCAGTGGTTGGGTCGCGATTCTGGTGGTGATTTTGAGGTAGTTGGGTTGTCATTTTGGCTACATGATGGTGGTCTTTCTGGTCGCGATTTCCGTATTTTTGTCAAGTTATAACTGAACACACCCAAAACGATAAAATTGTCATTTTGTGTTTTCTTTCTAAATTTTCAACCCGTTTTCAGAAATGCGTTTTCGAAAATAGGATAGAGAACGCGTTTTCACTGTTTTGGAAAATCGAAAATAGAAAACGGGTTGAAAATGGCAAATAGAACAACCCTTAACTTTTTCCTTTTCCATTTTTCTTTCACTATTTTTTGTTTTCCTTTCTGTAGGTTCTTTGGTCCTTTTTTTTGTCTTCGCTATTTGTATCATTTTGTAAGGCTTCAGAATCAATATGAATCTTTGCAATGTTTTGAGTAGCTATCCAACTATTATCTGATTGAGGAGGTAAATCCTTTGTATAGAAATTTCCAAGTTAGGAAATAGAGAAATATATCTAAAAAAAATCAGTTGATATAACTAAATTCAGGGGATGTTAAAAATGGATCATATACTTATAGCCATATATTATTTATAACCAACAGCATCTTTAGTAAGTCACTTAAGTACAAGTTTTCAATATAAAGTCCAATATGGAAGGGTAAAAGTTCAACTACAATTATAAGCTTATCATACACTGTGTGTCATAGCTATTTGCACTCGTTGACACAAATCTTAAATAGGCATTCATTATTAAGACAATTGTATTGATTTTTTATATTCCACTTCCACTTGACGTTTTTGAAAAGGCTCTTAAAATTGCAAGTGCTCTCATATGTCCAAACCCACTTCCCCCGAAAACCTCCAAGCCAAAGAAAAATCCTTGGTATGAAAAATTTTTTACATATAAAAACTATACAAATAGTTACCTTGCTTGATGTCAAAGTCTCAAATAACAATATGAAAGTTCACCTCTCTATTGTACTATTTCTCATGGTCACGAAAAAACAGGAAAAATAATCTCTAAAGAGTACTTAGAATTTTTTACACATATAAGTGAAGCTTCTTCGATAGGAAACTTGGAAGTTTCAACATAATACACACAAATGAAAAGAAAGGATGTTAAAATAAATAATAGAATTAACATTGATAATTAATCATATATCCGACAAAGCAAATGATCATATCATACTTCTTTTAGATAAACATGTTTTTCTACACTAACATTACAAGGAAGCCATCTGTCAAAACTTTAGTTATCTAGAAAAAAAGAGCCATTTGATAATTCAACAAGAAGTTTTGATTTAAAACCACAGAAGCTATCATTTGCACAATAATGCACCAGTTTGTAATATGTAAATCCAACCATAGTTGGTACTTATTACCTAATCCATTGGCAAGCACCTACAAAGAAGAGAACAAAGATCCTTTTTTTCGTATTTCCATATGAAAATATGGAAACTGAGAAGAGGAAGTAAATGGTTAAATGTATAAAATGCCTTACATGGTGTCAGACCAAAGTACAAGCGGTAAGTGGAAGTTGAGCTATCCCGCTTAATAAAGCAGTGGATTGGTTCATCTCGGGCCCGGCTATCCAAGATCACAAATGAAACAAAATATGGTTACAGAAGATATTATTTATCAAAACCTAAGACAAAAGAATAAAAGCTGAACTCTCATGTACAAAACCTACCTGCTTCAACGATACGGGGAAAGTGAGCCTCCCACATTCCTCTGGAGTCTTGACAATTTCCTTAGTGATATCCCTCCACGACTTACAAACCAATGCACAAAAGACAACTACTGTCCTAGCAGGCCAAGAAGTCTCTCTCTCTTTAACCCTTCGGATTAGTCCAAAAGCAATTCTGGTGGTAAATTTGCCCAATTCCCTTGCTGAATTGGCTTAGACAGGGCTACATCAGGAGCTATATGAGACATGTTCCTGTTGAGCCAACGCTTTCCCTCAACCCCTCTTTTTGAGGTACTTCCCATTCCATCTTTTATCTCCTTTAACTAACGGACTACGCCCTTGAACGACATCTCAGTTGATTCCGACCAAGCTTAAAGTAAAGACGTGCTATAATTACCAAAAGGATATTCTCACTCGCCCTGTAGTTAGTTTGGCTATTATTTTTTGAAACATCTTAAATTTAGAAATGCAAACAACAAAAACCAGATAAGCATTTCCACTCTTCCCACAAGAACCGAAGTGAACTTCGACCAGAAAATGGACATTTTGTTTTCTTATGTCTTGGGTAAAAGATAGTAGAAAATCCTGGTAATAAATTAAAATATTCTTGCAAATGCTAAGAGTAAGGAAGTTTCTTTAAGCATGACCACAGAACTTAATGAAAGTAAGAAAATAGATTATAATGAAGAGTAGAATTTTCCATGAATTTGACCCTTCAAGATTATTGTAACTCTCACCTATTAATTATTTCATTAGCCTCAACACCGGACTGGACAGATGCACCAAGTGTTTCATTAAGGTCTTTGATGCCAAGCTTTTGTTCAGCAGATATTCTATTTAACTCTGCTAGTTCCTTCTCTTTAGCCTCCAAAGATCGGCGCAACTCACTGAATTGATCGAGATAAGATTTCGAAACTGACTCTTTCAAGTCTTTTATTTCCTACAAAAGCACGAATCATCACCTAGGGCACTGATAGACACACATGTCAAACATGATAAACAGCAGGAAAGAAGCCTCAAGTGAAGGAATACAGTTGCTCATTTTTATTCCTCAAATTTATAAAATTACCCAAATAAAGCACGAAATTCTCTCCTTTGTGGCCGATCAAGGGGGACCTCATAAAAGGGCATGATCGTAGAAAATTTTAAACTATATGAATTAAAGTATTTGGCGCATGTTTGGGATGGCTTATAAGAATGCTTGTAGACCACCCCAAGCATGCTCTTTGACATGTTTCCACTGTTTTTCAAAAAACTTCAGAACAGCAAGAGAGATAGAACAAGATTTTTTACCATAATTTGCTAAAGGTAAGCTACATAATCATGATTTTTTATGAGCGAATTTTTTGATGAAGTTCTTCAATGATAAAGTACAGTCTAATTGACAAGAATGCAGCTCCATAACTAATACCTAAGACAATCTTACATGAGGCAGAAGTGGAATACTACTTGGCAATAGTCACCCAAATAATCCATGAACATACACAACTATAGAGACAAGGAAAACCAGAAAGCAAGAGGATAAAATGCCCGTGTGAGACATACAATTTCATGGCGTTTACCCCTCTTATATTTCTTTTAATATATCTTTGCAAAGGTACGCATTTTGGATTTATGTGTCAAAATGACAGAAGTATATTCATTAACTAAATAGTTATCCTATGAATTTATAGTTAATCACAAAGGTAAAATAAAGGATGCCAATAAGAATCAGTAAATGTAAAGGATATTTCTTTGACCTTTGAGAAGTTAAGATAAAACAATAACCAAAATAAGAAAATTATAGACAGTTTAAGCACTAATTTAATACCATACGGATGATTAACGACCAATAGAAATCCAAAACTGCGCACTAATATTTAAGTACCAAACTAAGTAAACAACATATTAAGTAACAAAAAGGAGGGATAAAGTTCAAGAATCAAATAGATTAACAAGATGAACAACCCTAAAATGATTCATGCATTGATATGCATTTGAACAAACCTCTGCTTCCAATTAATCAAACTGAAATATTAATGTCAAGAACTACTAGAGAAGGACAAACCAGATGGCGACTGCATCTACTAATTGCACATTGTCACTACAGATAAATAATTGATTCCAACAGCAGTGGAGATGACAGATAATAAGAAGGATGTCAAAAAGGCATGTTCATGGCTAACTTAACGAAGACAATGTATACAATTTATTATTCTTCGTTTCTCAATCAGAAACAATCAAGTGATCAAAGAAAAGAATAGTGTCAGTAAATACCAAGAGACCTTAATTCAAATGTATATTTTAAGCACATTAAATTGAAAAAAATATATTGGCAGAGCTTTTGAATACAGAAATGTTAAACCACAATTAGATGCAGAAGTGTCACAAAATCAAAGACTAATGTGATCTCCAAGATAGAAAATATTCTCCAATGCGTCATTAACAAAATAAATAACACTAACAATCATCGTTTACTCATAAATTATAATTAAATAAAAATGCAATCTTTTTTCATAATGAAAAAAAAAGAGTAAAAACACATAGCATTTGATGTTTTCCATATCCTATAAGACCCAGCACAATACTACAATCCAAAACACTAAAACAGACCAACATAAAAGCATAACACCAACTGTTTACTCAAAATAGAACCATAATGCATGAAAATCAAACAATCAAAAGAAGAAAAATTCGAAGAAATAAAAAATGCTAAAAGCCAACAGCAATCCACAATTGTAAAGGATGACGACTCATACCTTGAACCTCAGACAAAATTACATGAAAAAGGATTCTTGTTTAGTGTAGACAGTTTTTTAAGAGAGAACAATTTTACGATGGTTACAGAAGGAAACCCACAAAAGTCGCTCTTCAATATTATAGTGAAATAGTGATAGTGAAATACAATAAGCAATTGTGGATAGACATCCCTTCATAGAACATGTGGATAGGTGTAATTTTACTAACTACAGTTCAAATCTGTCAAATATCGATTTATCCAATGCTAAATATTTGTATGTAGTAAAGTATAACAACTTTTTACTCCAATTGCACAGCTGCGTTCACTGACATACCAGTCAACCAATCCCCTATCCCAAGTCTGAAAGTTCCTGGTTAATTAAGAAAGTGAAAATTATTTCCATTTGAATTATGACCATCTTTGGGCAAAAAGCTCTATCAAAAATACAATTATATTATCTCCTTGATAGCATTCCTATGAAAGTTCCAGAATTTTAGTCTTTGAGTAATCTGGTTGAAGAGAGGCACTCTTTATGATAGTTCCAAAATTTCATAAATGTAAAAGAACTAATGAAGAAAAAATAACAAAAAATAGAATAAAAAAATACCAATTTTTTCCAAGAATCAGGTGCAGGGTGCTCCACACACGACCTAATCGCTCTGAACTTCAACCATTCTTACCTGCAAATCAACAACAAAATTACATCTCAAAGTACAACACCACAAAGACCAACATACAACAAATTCAAGGAAACAAATTATAATGGGTTGTACGTTAGAAGGCAAATTAGGGAAAAAAAAAAAAAGAGCGTGAGAAGGTAGGAAACAAAAATGAGCATGAGAAGGCAGATTTATGATTTGTATCTCACATTGATGTCTATTCAATTCTACATTAAAAGAGTTCGTTGATTTGTCTTCATCAATTTTTTCTTCAAAATTTTCATTATCTTCTCCATGGCCATAGTAGTAATGCAATACACCAGTGTTTCTAGCATGAAAAAGAAAAATATTGAGCTCTCGATACATTGTTTTTGAAGCATCAATATAATAAATGACATCATAACAAACAGCTAGTGTAATTTTTCAGATTTCTACAAGTAAAATTGAAGTAAAAAGCAGAGAAATATCATCCAGCACATACCTTGAGCCTTTCATGAGCCTTTCATGAGCCTCCTTCACTATCTTTCCATCTTTCTCCACTTATGGCCATCTTCCGGAAGTACCTCAGTACTTTCTAGTCAAAAAGAAAAAAGGAACCACCTAAAAGTAGATGAGAAAATTATTATAATTTTGTCAAGCCTATGTAATACATGTAAAAGAGAGATATTTTGCACAAAGACAAAAGGCATATGTGACCTCTGTTGCAAGTTTAAGGACATATTTATATACTTTAAACCAAACACTGGCATCCGGGTTTGGTTCAAACGTTCAATCCATCAGTGGTCTCTAGTTTCTTTCTTCATTGGCAGTCATGCACCATCGGCGATCACTTTTTCACTTAGACCCTACCATTGATGTCTAAAAGAAAGATGAACGTTAATCAACAATTCTATAGACCATAAGCCAACAAATAGGTTAGGTTATGAGCTCTCCAAAGTTGGAGATTGCGCAGACAACCAAGTCCAAATCTTTGTCCACATTTTGACAACAGAGCTTAGAAAATAAACTCGCCAATGTTCTTCAAGCATTAAATTCCAAAGATCAATCACAGAGCAATGAATTAATACTCATGTGCACCTGTGCCAGCATCTTATCACCACGTCAGCATACTTTCAACAAGGGATCGACATATTGCTTCACTTAACTACATCTTCAATTAGTATTTCCTCAGTTTCAGTCCTAAAATTAAGAATGGGTACGATAGGTGAATCAAAATACATCATCATTAAGTCCTGTTTAATTGCGAAAATGGTATTTTTCAATATTTGGAACAATAAAAACCTGAAACAAACTGAGGGAACACAAGTTCAATACAACAACCACCAATTAATAAAAAAGCAACATCAAGTGTAGAATAACAGGCCAGTGAATAATTGAACCGAAACGAGTAGATTGCCATAGTCCATACCATGACATCAAATTGCTCTGGATTTGAAACAAGTTGCACAGAACAGTTATCCACAATCATCTTATTGTACTGGATACTTGGGTACTTGCTAGCAACTTTACGACAGGATTCTAAAAAAGACCATCTGCAAGTATCATTATGTTCGCTTTATGCACAGCAGTCACTTTCTTCCGGTTATTCAGATAGGCATACTCGAAGGCATATTTTGCAATACGTTCTGAACAGAACTTTGTAATCACCTGGCAATGTGGCTATATGAGAAACAAATATGCAAGCAAGTCTACATAAACAATGAGATAGATTGGAAGTAAAAAACAAAAACCTCAATCAGTAATGTGAAAAATCCACAAGAAAATCAAGTATCATTTATATAAGTAGCATAATGCAGTCTCAACTCCCAACTTCGTAACAGCCACCAGATTTAAATACTACCCTTTCAATTATGTGATGTATCATCCATAAATCAATAGAAACCCATGGCTGCACTTGAAAATGGTTAAATTCAGACAGGAAGACAAATGCGCTAGCAAGTAGTTTAAAGAACAAGGAAATAGATTCATCACGAAGTTTTTGATTAGAACATGGTATCTGAAAAAATAAAACAGTTACCCAACTAAATAGCACAGTTGAAGTAAGAGTTACTATTTAATAACATTGGAATTGAGAGATGGAGATCGTACTTGGAACAGAATCATTCAAATTTGAGTTGATATGAATTCATTTTATGAGGCAAAACCTTGTTCGAATTCTTGGAATGGAACCAAAAAAAGGTTGGGTCATAAGTAGTTTAGAGAAAAAGGAAATAAATTCATCACAAATATGATTATCATAAGATGGTATCTGAAAATAAAACAGTTATCCTACAAAATAGCACATCTCCATTGCTTCAGCAAAACCCTCACCCTTTCACTGTATATGTACTGGGAGAGGTAGAGAAAGTGGCAATGGAGGGGTGTCTCCGTTGCGAGCGGAGGCACAGTCGCTATCTCCATGCTGGATGGAGCTAGCCGCTAGCTCTATGCTGGGTGGAGGTAGCTGACCTAGCTCCATGCTGGATGGAGCTAGCAGCTAGCTCCATCCTGGCTGGAGCTAGCTGACCTAACTCCATCGTGTGCGTGTGCAACAGATACACATTTTTTTGGAGGCAACGTCCGTGCTTCCGTATGCAATGGAGATATATGTATTTCCATGTCTCACAGAGACACCCTGTCTCTGTGAGACATGGTGTCACCATGAGACGAGGAGACAGCATCTCT